AAAAAAAACAGGCCAGGCACAGTGGCTCATGCCTGTAATCCCAGCACTTTGGGAGGCCAAGGCAGGTGGATCACGAGGTCAGGAGATCAAGACCATGCTGGCCAACAAGGTGAAACCCTGTCTCTACTAAAATACAAAAAATTAGCCTGGAGTGGTGGCACGTGCCTGTGGTCCCAGCTATTCGAGAGGCTGAGGCAGCGGAATTGCTTGAACCCGGGAGGCGGAGGTTGCAGTGAACCAAGATTGTGCCACTGTACTCCAGCCTGGTGACAGAACAAGACTCCGTCTCAAAAAACAAAACAAAAACAGTCATGAGTCATGGTTGCATTATTTCTAGGTGCTCCAAACTGAAAATAGCTTAACTGTCCATCAACAGAAGAAAGGATCAATAAATTATGTAATGTCTGCTGGACGAGGTGGTGTGCACCTGCAGTCCCAGCTACTCAGGAGGCGGAGGCAGGAGGATTGCTTGAGCCCAGGATTTCAACGCTGCAGTGAACTATAATCACAGCATTGCACTCCAGCCTGAGTGACAGAGCAAGACCTCGTCTCTTAAAAAAAATTATGCAGTATCCGTAACGTGGAATACTATACTACAATGAGAGTGAACAAACTACAACACACAACATATAGTGTTTAGACCTCCCCCCAAAATACATACAGTATGACTTATTTCTCTAAAACTCAAACACAAAAAAATGCAGACATGAGTAGCTAAAGTATAAAGAAAAGCAACGAAATGATTACAGTAAAAGTCAAGAGATACCAAGCGCGGTGTCTCATGCCTGTAATCCCAGCACTTTGGGAGGCCAAGGCCAGCAGATCACCTGAGATCGAGAGTTCGAGACCAGCCTGACCAACGTGGAGAAACCCCACCTCTACTAAAAATACAAAGTTAGCCAGGCGTGGTGGTGCATGCCTGTAATCCCAGCTACTCAGGAGGCTGAGGCAGGAGAATCGCTTGAACCCAGGAGTCAGAGGTTGCAGTGAGCTGAGATTGAGCCATTGCACTCCAGCCTGGGCAACAAGAGTGAAACTCCATCTCAAAAAAAAAAAAAAAAAAAATGTCAAGAGATGTATTATTTTTAAAGGAAAATGGGAACTGTGATCAAGAGGGATACCTGGGGGATTTCCAAGGTGTGGGCGATGTATTTCTTCGTTTGATTGTTGCTGATGTGGGTGCTCACTCTAGAAACATCTGTTAAACCACACATGTAAGTTTTGGACACTTCTCTGTTTTGTACTTTGCAATGAAGACTTTAAAAAACTTTAAGCCTTAAAACAAAAAAAAACTCTAGCAGGTTACACAAATTTGAATTACAGTAAGAATTCTAAGCAGATTAGAGCAGACTGCAGGCAAGTCTGCTCCTTACATTTGAAGAATCTGGGTAAGATTTCCAGATAAATTCGAGGATGCCCAGTAAATTTGAATTTCAGATAAGTAACTTTTTAGTATATTTCAAGTATTACATGAAATATGCTAACACTAGAAAAGGTATGCCTTGTTTATTTGAAAGTCAAATTTAACTGAAACATCTGTATTTTTATTTGCTCAATCTGGCAATTGTAAACTGTCCAGGACAGGAGTACAAAAGTAGGCCCTATGCCCACATATCGAAAGTTGTTTTTTGTTTTTTTTTTGAGACGGAGTCTTACTCTGTCACCCAGGCTGGAGTGCAGTGGTGCGATCTCAGCTCACTGCAACCTCCGCCTTCCAGGTTCAAGTGATTCTTTCGCCTCGGCCTCCTGAGTAGCTGGGATTACAGGCATGCAACACAACACTCGGATAATTTTTGTATTTTTAGTAGAGATGGGGTTTTACCTTGTTGGCCAGGCTGGTCTCAAACTCCTGACCTCAAATGATCTGCCCACCTCGGCCTCCCAAAATGCTGGGATTATAGGCGTGAGCCACCGCGCCCCGCAGATTTTTAAAAATTTATTTATTTTTCGAGATGGAGTCTCGTTCTGTGGCCCAGGCTGGAGTGCAGTGGTGCGATCTCAGCTCACTGCAAACTCTGCCTTCTTGGATCAAGCAATTCTCCTGCCTTAGCCTCCCGAGTAGCTGGAATTACAGGTGCCTGTTACCACACCCGGCTAATTTTTGTATTTTTAGTAGAGACGGTGTTTCATGATGTTGACCAGGCTGGTCTCAAACTCCTGGCCTCAAGTGATCTACCCGCCTCAGCCTCTCAAAGTGCTGGGATTACAGGCATAAGCCACCATGCCCTGCCTTTAAGATTTTAAGTTATACTCCGAACTAACAAATTTTTAAATAAAATATGTTCCATTCTCCTATCTTAACACATACACTTCCACAATGACAAGATTGAGAGCATATATCTAAAGACTACTGAAATCAGCTATGTTTGTGCATCTCTGTTTATTCTAGAAGTTTGGATAAGTAATAAAGACATAGATAATTCACATATTAGCATATGTAGTCCATAAAGCTTATTTTATTGTCTTTATTTTACACAATCAAAATTATGCTACTACAATAAAAATTTCACATAATTTCTAATTTGGTCATAATAATTAAAGGATTTTAAAATAAAATTTAAATTTTATTAAAATTGGACACATTTTAAGTATATTTACATCCAAAATTTAAATTAAAGCAGGTAGGGGCTGGTCAAGGTGACTCATGCCTATAATCCCAGCACTTTGGGAGGCCAAGGTGGGCAGATCACCTGAGGTTAAAAGTTTGAGACCAGCCTGGCCAACATGGCAAAACCCCATCTCTACTAAAAATACAAAAATAGGCTGGACATGGTGGCATGTGCCTGTAATCCCAGCTATTCAGGTGGCTAAGGCACGAGAATCGCTTGAACCTGGGAGGCGGAGGTTGCAGTGAGCCGAGACTGTGCCACTGCACTCCAGCCTGGGCAACAAAGCAAGACTCTGTCTCAAAATAATAATAATAATAATAATACAGCAGGTAGGAAAAATCAAAATATTTTCATTTTTTATTTGCAAAATAATTTGGTGAGTGGGTGCAGTGTCTCACACCTGCAATCCCAGCACTTTGGGAGGCCAAGGCAGGCGGATGACTAGGTCAAGAGTTGGAGACCAGCCTGACCAACATGATGAAATTCTGTCTCTACTAAAATACAAAAATTAGCCAGGTGTGGTGGTGCCCACCTGTAATCCCAGCTACTCAGGAGGCCGAGGAAGGAGAATCGCTTGAACCCAGGAGGCAGAGATTGCAGTGAGCCAAGATTATGCCACTGCACTCCAGCCTGGGCAACAGAGTGAGACTTAGTCTCAAAAAATATATATATTTTCGACTTGGTGTGGTGGCTCATGTGTGTAATTCCAGCACTTTGGGAGACTAAGGAAGGAGGATCACTTGATGCCAGGAGTTCAAGACCAGCCTGGGCAACATAGCGAGAGACCCTATCTCTAGGGGAAACTTTAAAAATTAGCCAGGCACGGTGGCGCTGCCTGTAGTCTCCGCTACTTGGGAGGCTGAGGTGGGAGGATTCCTTGAACCTGAGAGGTGGAGGCTACACTGAGCCGTGATCATGCCACTGCACTCAACCTGGGTGGCAGAGCGAGATCTTGTCTCAAAAACAAATTCCCTTTGAAAATATTCAAAATAGGGCATGGCACGGTGGCTCACACCTACAATCCCAGCAGTTTGGGAGGCTGAGGCGGGCAAAATCACAAGGTCAGGAGTTCGAGTCCAGCCTGGCCAACATGGTGAAACCCTGTCTTTACTAAAAATATAAAAAATTAGCCGGGCATAGTGGTGCACGCCTGTAATCCCAGCTACTCAGGAGGCTAAGGCAGGAGAATTGCTTGAACCCAGGAGGTGGAGGTTACAGTGAGCCGAGATTGTGCCATTGCACTCCAGCCAGGGCAACAGAGCAAGACTCCATCTCAAAAGAAAAGAAAAAAAAAGAAAAGAAAAGATTCAAAGTTATGTATCAAAAGTAAATGGCAGTGGTTTCCAGGGGCTGGGGGTAGAGGGAAATGAGGAGTTATTGTCTAATGCCCCAGTCCCCAAATGTTGGGCACCAGGTACTGTTTTCATGGAAGACAAATTTCCCACAGATGGGTTAGAGGATGGCTTCAGGATGAGACTGTTCCACCTCAGATTATCAGGCATTAGATTCTCAAAGGGAGC